TCCCCAAACCAGGCCCCGCGTGCGAGGGGAGCGGGGGGAGCACAGCCTCCCTTCCTCTTCCTCAGCCGCAGGGAGGAGAAAACCTCAAAAGAAAGCACAAAAGCCTCTTTTCCTTCGGCAACGCAACTCCCTGGGGGTCCAGAGCAAAGCAGACGCCGCTGCCTGCCTGGGGAGCCACAGCCCTGTGGTCGAGTAAAGCTTACAGAGCTCGCTCTTTTTCTTTTTTTTTAATTTAAATAAAGGAGAATTCAGATCAAAATGCTTCAGCTTATTTTATTGATCAGCTCAGCCTCCCCTCCGGTCTGTCCCGCCAAGCACTCCACCCCAGTACGAGCAGTCCCCAGCATGCAGAGGCGATGCAGCTCCTGCCGGCTTCCACCCCCGCTTAGTGCCCACGAAGCCCCAACTGCTGAGGAATGTCAGGAGCATCTTTGGTCCTTTGTGTTCACACAGACAAAGCCAACAAACACAGGTCGGGGCTACAGGCAGGTCTGACCCCGCAGGGCAGGATCCTGCCCTCACCCTGCCCTCGCTGCCCCAGAGAGCCCAGGACAGACCCTGGCAGGCAGCAAAGGGCAAGAAGGGGCAGATCCAGCTGCTGCTCCAGCTCCCTCTCACTTCAGAAAGGCTGGTTGGTGCCGCAGGGGATGAAGGCTGGACCCGTCTCCCCACTGCAGCCTTAGAGACGTGCTCCGCAGCCCGCTGCCGTCCCCACCCTGGCAGACACCAACAGGGGATGGCTGCAGAGCAGCTCCAGGACTCCAGGCTGCGTTGCTTGTGCTTTAAGACAGCGTAATGGAGAAGCTCACTTGTGCGACCGGGGCAGTCCTGAGGGTTAAGGCCAGGAGAGTCACAGGGAAGTAGCACGGGTGGCCCTCCTGAAGAAGTACGCCTGAGTCCGTGGCTGTTGCCCTGTGGCTCTGTGTCATTTTAACGAGAAATTAAGACGACATCCTTCAAGCAACAGGCACACGTCCCAGGCAGGCAGCACCCTCTGACTGCTCGAGCAAGCAGACACGAGCAGAGTTCCCGAGTGACCAGAACCGGTGTGATGGTCCCGCATGTCCGACAATGACCCGTCCCTGGCTCTGCGAGGTCCCATCGGACACGAATGCGACGAGGCTGGTTTACCAAAGACACTTTGAGATATGGATATAAAAACCACCACAGTGATAAGGTCTGTAGACTCCAGGCTGGGAAATTTCAGCCATTCTAGTGAGAGCTTTGGGATTTGATTTCTTACATTCGCAAGTCAGGATGTAAAAACAAAAAAAACCCAAAGGAATGAATCACTGTCTGGGAGCCTGGAACGAACCAGGGCTCTCAGCGAAGCTCTTCCCTTCCTCGCTCATAAAATACATTTCCAGGGGCGGAGTACTGACATCTACAGATGTAAAACACAGCACAGAGGGGGGCTGGGAGAACGCACAAAACAAACGCTCCACCACGTTACAGAGAGAAGAGGTAGGTAAGCTTGAGCCAAGCCCCTGAGTCCGCCCTTTTAAGCCATGTCTTTTGTTCCCAAATTAGTCATCTCTGGCAGAAAAATCCAGCTGGTTTGGGAAGGGGGGGGGGGGGGGGCTGCAGGCCCCGGGGCAGTCTGCAGCCCCCAGGTTGAGCTTCGTAATGCACTTTGGACAGGAGAAGTCAAGCTTGAAAGCAGAGATGAGAGTTGAGCATCCGGGGAGGGCGGCAAGAGCAAAGCTCCGTGTTATTGCTAGTGTGTGGCCAACCAATTAAATCCCTGGGAGTAGAGGCAGCACAACGGCAGCAGTTGTGCCCGTTTAAGGCAGCGTTTCTACTAAACTAGGTTCCTAAACCACAACTATCTCCTAAACATGCAAGACTAACAGCTTCCATTTCAAGAGAAACACCAAAGCAATTGGCTAAGCTGGTCCTCCACTCATGACTTGATGCTTCTCCAGAATAATGCCTTTCCCGAGATGCGCGATCCCTGGTTCCCCTCCTCCCGCAGCCCCAGAAGCCCCGCACGGCCTGGGCAGAGGAACGCGAGGCAGGCGCCAGGGAAGCCTTTCCAAGCAGGCAGGGGAACCTCGTGGATGACCACCTCGGTTCTGAAAGGGGAGTGGAGAGCCGGATGGAGAAGGCAATTCGATATGAACGAGATGTTGAAAAAGGAGGTCCTCGAAAGCTGGCCTGGCAGGGAGCCCAGGTAGATGGCAACCTCTGAAAGCCAGAGGACAGCAGGAGCTTTTCTTCCATGGTTGCCATCTCCTCAGCTGCTGCAGGCACACACAGGGAGGTGCTACCATCAGAGAAGCCCACGGTCCCCTGGACGGTGCTCACAGATGGAAGGGGATCCCGTGGGTCCAAGCACTACGTCCAGTAAAGTGCTGCTGGCTTAGACCAACCACTGACTGAGCAACAGTGGCCAAAAAAACAGCTGGTTAACTTGAACCTTCCCTACGGAGCTCCTCAGCCTTGTGCTTGAGGCCAACACCCGCAGCCACCCACTGAGCACGACCACCCCGCTCACATGCTCCCATCCGCCTGCGTCACCTGCTTGATCTGCCGGCTGTGGACCACCTGCTGAGCCCCCTCCGCAACTTGGTTTAATCGTGTCTCTAGAGCACTCCGGAGGTCGTTTACTTTCACATCTGGAAGGGGGTTCAGGCCAATGAAGACCCCCGCCCCCTGTGCAGCCGCCTCCTCCTCCTCCTCGGGAGGCAGCAGGTCCCGTCTCCTCCGGCGGAGGTCCAGGTCTGCCTGCAGTTTCAGGTCCCGGTTCGGTTTGACGTCGTGGTCCAGCTCCTGCTCCCCCTGGGCAGCCGCTCCCTTCTCAGGCTTTTGGGCAGGAGCATTCTCAGGGCCCGGTTTCTTCTCAGCATTGTTTGAGAGACCCCCGTCCCCGCGCCGCTGCTTGCTCTGGAGACCTCCCTGCAGGTCCTGGGCCACGTCCACCACGTTCTCCCGAGGAGCTTCTTCCTTTACCTCCCCCTTGCCAGGCAGGTCCCTCTGCGAGGCCTGCTGCTGTCTGCCAGCACCCTCACCTCCCTCGGTGTCTGCAGCTCTCTGACGCTCCCGTAGGTGCTGCTCGCTCTCCGCCACGTTCCTTTTACTGGAGGAGTCCAGAGCAACTGCCAGGTCTTTGGGCTCCACCTGACTCAGTGCTTTGGCTTTAAGGTCTATTCCTGAGTCTCTTTCCAGACTCTTTCCTGCTACTCCCTGAACTTTGGCAGCCCCCAGCTGTTCTCTTTGGATGGGAGCTGTAGCTACTTCCACGGCTTTCAGGGAATTCTTCTTCTCATGGATGTCTCTTCCAGCTTTGGCTTCATGACCTCCTCCCAAATCCTCTGCCAAGGGCTTCTTTTCTAGGTGGTTTCTGGCTGCTGGAATGTGTCGGGCATCCCCGTGAAGGGGATCCCAGTTCTCCGCGTGATTTTTAACAGCTCTGTCATTCTCTTGTGGTGGCACCTTCCGCTCCTTGGGAGGAACCCCAGGAACCTCACGCCTGTGCCCAGCCTCTTCCAGCTTTCCTGCAGTCCCCCTGCGCTGCTCCGCGGAGTCAGCAGGCTGCCTGCCCAGGCCCTGCGCAGGGTGCTCCAACAGCTCTTTGCTGAGCGGCTTTGCAGCAGCGTCTTGCTTAACTCTGAGGCCCTCGTCCTCCTTGCTCTTGGACAGAGGCACAGCAGGCTCCTGCTGCGTTTCCACTGCAGAACAAAAAACGACATGTAAAACCTTTTACTTACGACGGGTGACAGATCCCCTTCTCCTGCCGCCACGTTCTGCACAACAGGGGACAGGAGAAGAGATCACACCATCAACTGCCACGCGGGAAAACAGGGTGAGCCGCAGGGGAGAGCGTTATCCCTGCGACCAGGGGCTGGGGATCCCCACCTCGGAGGTCAGGCTCAGACTTGGGAACGGCTTTTTTGCAGAGTGGACTCTGCCTTGTGCCAGAAGGACTCGGACCTCTCCCAGCCTGATTTTAAAGCTGCTTTGAGCAGAGATCAGCCTGTGGAAGGGTCACGCTCTTTGGCGATGTCCTTACCTTGCTTTGGCTTCTCCTCTCCCCCCTCCTCCTGCCTTTGCTGGTGGATCTCCTTGTGCTGCTCTTCAATCACAGCCAGCAGTTTTGCCTGCTGGTCAAGTAGCTGCTTCTGCTGTACCTGCTGTTCTTTGATCACCTGCAGCAGCACAGCATGATCAAGCAGTTTCGCCTGCCCCGCTTCTAGAAAAGAAAAAATAAGAAAAAAAAAAAATCCATGACCAAACCCCTCACACTAATCATCTCCCAGCGCTGGAGGGGCTGCAGGAGCTTTCCTGGGCAGGAAGGTCCTACGCTGCAAACAGTGCCCATTCGCCAGGAGGGAGGGAAGGAGACGGCACAGCTCTGCTGCGGGCGCTGACGGCAATCATGGTGGCACCGCTCCGGCGTACCTCCACCGAGGAGGGCAGCCAGAAGCCCAGGTGGGGAGCTCTCATGCTAACACAGGACACTGCCCTCCCAAGAAGATTTGGATGGAGGGATCAAAACCAAGCTCTTGTCATTAACTGCATGGGAGAAGAGGTACAGGGGAGCAGGTCTGCTGGGGTCCCAGCGCAGGGAAGGATGAGGCAGCTGCTTGGCACAGGAGCTGGAAGAGGACAGGACCAGCAGAAGTCGATCGAGAGTGAGGGGCTCGGCTGCCCAAGCAAGATGAGCTGCTTCTAAAGCTGCCTGCAGTGCCTGGGGAAGCCCCAGCCCTGCTGCAGAGCGGCTCACTAGATCATCTCTTCAAATGCACTGCAAAGACTTCATCCCAGCTAAACCGAGCCTGGAAAGGCCACGAACAGCAAATGTGCAATCTTAGGAGGAACTGGAAGAAGTCAGCTACAGCAGGCGCGGCACCGGGAGCCGCCCTCGGAGGGAAACTACCCGCACGGTGGGATAAACCGACATGGAAACATCGACCCAACACGCGAGGCACAGATGCTGAGCTGGGCCTTTCCAGGAGGCAAGTCCTGGGTTACAGCCAGAATGATGAGAGGCTACTGTTGTCGCTTCCCCCGCCTTAGCCAAGCGAAGGTCTAGCCTGGCCCACGGCAGGAAAACACCCACCGAACAACGCTGCCGAAGATTTCGGCTTTAAGCACTGTGAAAGGGCTGGGCTCTCGGGCAGCAATCAAAGGTTTAACGGCCGAGCGCTCTCGCACGCGGCAGCGCAGGTGGTCAGGCAGGTTGAAACCACAGCGGTGCAGAAAGTCGGCTCCACCTCTCGCCGAGCCGCCGCCGCAATAAAACCGAGCTTCCCGCGCCACGTAACAGGAGGAAATCCTTGCCCACCGGCCCTTCGCAGCCGCGAAGTCCCACAAAACAGACGAGTGCATTTCGGGCCAAGCAGAAGTGACTCACGTTGAGTCACTCGCTGCAAGCGACACGTCACGCACAGACTACGAGTCTCAGGTCTGCACGGAAACGTTGCTGCCTTTTCTCCGCCTGGACAGACACCCAGACGTATCCTATCATATCTGGAGAGTATGAACCTGTGTGTCGCTTGCCTCCCACATCAACAAACAGCCTTCCTCCGAAACTCAAGGTGTTTCTAGGCTATTATGCCCTGAAGGAAATAACGTCAAAATTAATAGCCTGTAAAATGCCATTTAAATTAAAAAGGGATGCTGTCCAGGCTGATCCTTCTCCAGCACGCACTGCCTCCCCCCGTCCCGCTAATCACCACAGGGTGATTACAGAGAAATATTTCCAGTTCACGCTATGGTGCCATTAGCTGAGGGCCCCTGGAATTCCCCTTCCACTCCATTTACAGAAAGCTGGGCTGCGCGGGGGAATTTGGTCGTTTCAAGAGAGCAATTGACTTCCTGAGATCTGTTTATTTTTCACACTTTGCTCAGAATAAACAATGGAAACAGAAGTCATTTCTACTATCTCGCTCTCCGAGCCTGCCAGGTCCCAGCTCGGCATGGGAATGTTTGGGCTGAGCAGGCAGCAGGCAAAGGTTTAATGCCAAATCAAAGCGTTTCTTGTTGAGAGCTCTGCAAACACGTGTAACTCCTGGATGTGTGCGGCACACCTCTTCCACACAAAGGGTGACGCTAACTCCCGGCTCCTCCTTTGATCGTGGGGAAAACAGGCCTCAGCCAGCGCTTTGGCTGGATTTTAAACAAGCACTCTTCATAAAAAACATCTTAAGCAGTTATAAAATGCAAGTACCTGAGTTCACATGGCCCGGGGCAGCTACAGCCGGAGCACTCAACAACAGTCCCGGCAAAGCAGCTGTTTGCAGAGAGCGTCCATGGAGCTATGCGCCCACTGCCTTGCTCCCATGACACCTTTCCACCCTTTCCACCCTCTCCCAGCCTCTGGGTAAGAAGCGCAGCTCAGAGCAGGGGAGCGGAACAAGCCCAGAGCACCTTTTGGTGACATCCTCATGGGAGAGCATCCCCAGCAAGTCCCACGCAGACTGAGATGGAAAACCCCATGCAAACTCAGGTCCTTTCATCCTCCTTGAAACGTGAAGAGTCCTCATAGTCCCTACCCACCACTAGCTTTTTATGCTCAGTTTTTAATGTCCCATTGCAATGCAGAACGGAAAGAAATTAATTAGAAAACCAAGATGTAACCACCGAAGAGGAGAGTGATACACTCCCCGGGAGCGGAGCCTGCCCGCTGCCATCACTCATCGGACCAAACGCCCATCACCTCCAAACCAGAACGAAGGCGGAGAGCCACGGGACCCCCACCACGCACAGACTGCGAGTCTGAGCTCAGCCTCCAACCCCTCCCAAGGCAGAGGTCGAAGGCAAGGAGCTCAGCCTGAGGAAGGGCTCGCTGCACAGTACCAGCACCGAGGCTCCGTGGGAGGAGCAGACGGGGCTTTGCCACCGCTCCCCCGCACAGCTACGTGCCCAGGTCTCCCCACGTACCTGCGCCTGCCCCACGCCCCAAGGCGGTCGGGTGATGCCCAGTCCCCCCGTTGCACACCAGCCAAACAGCTTCACCTCGGTCGTGCTCTTGCCAGGGCAGCAACCAGCAGCCGAAGCCGGTGAGCAGCCAGGTCCGGGTGCCAGCGTGACTCACGTCCTCGAGCGGCCCTGCCAGGGGCTGCCCCGGGGAACAGCCAGCCTGTGCCGCGGGCATGCGCCCGCCGGAGACAGGCACTAATTGCTGCTGTCGCGGAGGTGACTACAGCCTAAAGCTATGTGCTGGCGAGAGCCAAGAACAGCGCTGGCTGGCACCGTCCTCCTGCAGAGAGAAATCCTGCACTGGCAGCCCCCGCTCCCCCGGGGGCCCC